CGGCATATTGTGCAGGATTCCCCATCACTATGGACAGCTTGGTTATGGCAACGATCGGGGCCCAGTATGAGACCGCAGCCAAGAATGATGGGAAGGGCATTGCTACGATCAAAGCGTTTCTCACGAATGCTCCCGAAGCCGTCCGACCTTCATTCTGGCAAGTCACCTCGATGACAGACAAGAGAGGAGCGTACAACATTGCCGTTATCGCCTACTGGCGAGCCGTGGAAGTTCATGAGCAATGGGAAACTCAGTCTGGTTTTAGGCCATGGTGGCAGAGCCCTGAACGCGAGAACGAGGCGCATGGCTGGTTCCAAGAAATTCTCCGTCCAACAGTCGATCGTTTCGAGACAAATTTCTCGAATCCCGCGTATGTAGAGGGCGCCGCAAATCTACAGGAGCATATGTCTGGCAAGGTAAGAGAACATGGGTACTGGGGCAGTGTGCGGGATCGAATGGCAGCTGCGCAGGACGATGAACTCAAGTGTGAATCTGGTCCTCGCCCGGCCGACAAAAGTACGAATGGCTCCAGTAGCAACGAAAAATCGGCAAGTCGTGTTCATGTGGAAGGGATGAAGAACCTTTGCGTGATTCGGTCCGGTCAGGACTGGTCGGATACTCTCCCAGAAGAACGCAAACTGTATCTTGAGACTATGCAACCCGTCCTGGTGACGGGCATGAAGTACTTGCGGGATGAGGGTAAGGAAGATGGATGCTACGCGATGAACTTGTGGGACGTTGTTGATTCGGAGACCTACAAAGCTGATCGAGAGCGTACGTTTGGACTAGGCTACTTTGAGGACCTGGCGTCTCTCGAGAAGTGGAGCAAGAGCCATCCAACACACATTAACATCTTCACTGGGTTCCTCAGATATGCAAAGAAACTAAACGATAATCCGTCGTTAAGACTCTTCCATGAGGTGTATTCATTGGAAGAGGATCAGCAATTGTTTGAGTATGTGGGGTGCCATGAAGAAAGCGGTTTGCGGAATGCGTTGTCCGCGTCGTAGTCTGATTCTCGGCGTTAGTAAGTCACCTGTACCGGTAGCATAGTTTGTGCGACAGACTGCTGAAAAGTATCTCTCAGGACATTGGAGTCTTGATCTCACCAACGACTAGTGGTACACACTGTGAGATGGTCCATTGTATATATGAATCACCCAGCTAAGACGACGAATCTTGCACAAGTGCCAATATTATGTATTATCCTCAGCAGTTCCGATTGCCCAAATCATGGTGAGTTTATCTTGCAGCCAGCTTCGGCAATCCACCGAGAAACGTTCGGCTTGATGGGTGGAGGACTCAATCTGTATGGCTGTGGAAGTCCAAGCCGTCAGGTTGCACAGAAAATTGTATCCAGGGGGCTATTGCGTGGGACAGTGAACATCTCATGTCAGATGTCTTGGCATGCTAGATTGTCAGATGAGTGAATGTCTCCACATGGCCCGTTGGCGGGGCTCGTTTGCGCGAGGGCTTAGGTGGTGTTGTTGTACTTCCAAGGTTGACGTGTGTTGTCTTACCGTACCGGTATCAGCTTATCGGAGATTGCGGGGTGTGCGTACGGTACGGTACGGAACGAAGCGCGACGCGTCACGGTCAAGGCTGTTGCGGTTTATGTTGGCTCCCAATGGGAACTTTGTAGAACAACAACTCAACGAGCTGGTGCGAGAGGCGTCAAGTAAGCTACTAGGTTCAACGAGTAATATGACTAGGCGAATGAGGAGCGGAAGTGGTGACGTGAACAAAGCAGTCACGGGGCTGGATCGTTTACCCCGCGAAACATGTCAGGAGGCAGGCGGCGCGGAGCTTACCGTACGGTACGGGAACATAGCACCTCCTTATCCTGATACCTTCAGCCTGAACACCAAGCCTCTCTGTTCGTTCTACTGTTCCATCTGATGAACGCAAGTGATGTTATGCCACGCATGCTCTGAGTATCTTTTGACTCCCTTGTGTTGCACTGTCTTTTGTGAAGCAGCTCCAACATCTAAACATTACGTGATACTACGGTACTGTCCCGAGTCCTTGTTGGTGCCTGGCGATACATCATCAGGTAAAAAGCAGCCCCTCTTGATGATGAATAGTATCATCTGATGACTTCTGACAACACTAGCCGTGACACTTTCAAGATCTGGTAGTTCAATCCATCCTGATCTCCTGTATGACCATTGGGAGCGATGTCCTGGTGGCGACGTGATCCTGCCCTTGCACCAGCTCGACTAAGCCCCCAGCGACTCGCTCGATCCCATGAGACTGCACTTCGCGCGCCATGCTTCTCTCGCACAACCTCGCCATACGCACATCATGAGGAAGATCCTGGGGGCAAGCGTCCATCAGGCATGTCAAATCTGGAGTGGATGCAAATGAGACACTATAAGAGATGGCAGAAGCGATTGACTGAAGATCCATACAATGCTATCTTTGGGGCCAGCAATGATATGCTGGCTGGAAAGGGAGTGAAAGACTGGATGTGGGTCAACAACCGCTTCCCCAAGTGGATGTTGAGAGAGATGGAACATATCAAGGAGTTCATCAAGGACTCCACAGGCGAACATGACAAAAAAGCTGCAGGAGAGGAAGAACCGAAGAGAGCGCATAGTAGAACATCATCGCAATTTCCAAACTCGTCGACTACGGCGACACGATTTGATCGCAACGATAAAACAGGCATCGCCTCCCCTTCAGATCTAAGAAGGCCTCGAGAGCAGCCCTATCACGAGACCTTCGGCGAAAAATCCCCGACACAGGAGAAAGCATTGGTCAGGCCCCCTGAAACAAATAGAGTGGACATTGT